AGTATCGTCTACACATTCAGCACAGCAATTCACCACACGTCAATTGCTTATTGGGTGGTGGCAGATGGAACCACTCTACCCGACACGGACACTTGTTGGAACTTCAGAAATCCTGAAAAACGCAAAGCAACACCCATAAGCGAGCCGTACCCAACGCACCTAGTTAATCAAAGTCCTTACCCCCTCCCAATGCTCAGATATACTTGAGGTTATTCCAAACCATGAAGGTTGGTTACCTCTATCTTGGAATCCATTTAGTTTCCTAGAGTGAGCACTAGATCGTTAACTCGAATAGTTCCTGGATTCAGTCCTGTAGCGACAGCTAGACAGATCTCCATTATTTACCCTCCCTTCTAAAATACCTTTTCCACTAATATGGAAGATAAGGGATAGGCGATGAAGTCAAAACTAAGATCGACTGAAATATTCTCCGAAAATAGTACGACCGTCCAATGTTGTTGTGGTTACGAAGTCTCCTAGCAACAGCGGATATGACGTCATGCCCGCCCAGAGCTTCTTGTCATTCACAACGGTTCAGCGACTTACCAAGTTCTGATACCGAATAACAGCAAATAACTAATCATACAAAGTTATCAATACCATAAACCCACTCCAGATATGTGGATTGAATGATCCGAAGAGGTTTGGAAGGCCATTTCGAAGAATTCTCCGAGAAATGTCAGCCGAAAGTGCATTCCCATCCGGAGCTCCCTTCGCCGTCTTCCATCGCAAGAATCGTAGACAACCAGATTCGCATTATCAATCTGCTGACCTTACTTACCCACATCACAGACACTTTGAGCACAAATATTCAATTAAAACCCCTATGAAAACTCACCCATGATAAATGAAAAGAGAATAAAGTATCTTGTCTTTTTAACGGTCAATTGGCAACACACAAGGAAAGCGACTGCCTCAAAGACCGGACCATAGAGAAGTGACGAATACAAACACGTTCCCTAACTACAGCAGTTAGCGTATGAATCCCGCTCACGAATACAGTGGAGTGGTCAGACGATTTATTTAGAATAGGCGTAGAAAGTGTGTCCTAACGTGTAATTCGACACTAAAAGCCTAAAAGAGTCAATATCATAGTGATTTATAGGGATTTTTCCTATCAGGACTCCCCCACAACAAACGAACTATATAACTATGGTCGGCCCATACTAAATCATAGTTACAATGACGATTTTGGGGGTGTTCAGACTGTGGACCCATCTACTGCGGTAGATGTGTGGATTCTGTCATGCGACAGACGTAAGTGCAGAGAATGGCCAGCGGGTGCTACGGATGTGGAAGTCCAACAGCTGATTTATGACAATTCTCGCCCAGATTATCTGATTATCTATACAGATAGTTCGGCGTTGAGAGGGAAGAGAAGTTTCGTAGAGAAAGCAAATGGAAAATCTTTAGTGCAAGACAGTCTAGCATATGACACCACAACATCTAGCATGAGAATGGAGGTGGGGCGGTAACTGCAGCTTTTCGGTGGCTAGAGAACAAGATGTATACACATGTTATAATTGTAACAGACTCTGAGAGCATGCTGAGACAGGTGAAGACACTGATGCTTCGAGCAAAGTGGCAAGCTTCACTTTGAAGGTCACGGCTAGTGAGCATACTTTGATCTTTTCTACAGGCAATACCGGCGTGGGGGGTAATGAACAGACAGACAGATTAACTGGATTTGCACCACTTGGTGGTGAATTGATACATGATAAGGCAGTTGTGGTCAGGGCCCTTTGGGAACCAGTAACGCAATTATTATGGCCTAGCAAGAATAAGGCACCTGGGTGTAACCAGGGGTCTGGCCGGCTCGCTACACTCATGGGAAATGCTATACCGACACATAACTAGATTACGACCGGTACCATTAGTATTCGAACTCTGCGCTGGCTGCTGAATATGAGGATGGAGCACGCATGGGAGTGCCAGCCAGTGCTCTGATGTCAATTCTTGACTCAACTGAACTCACTTTCAACACTGCTTGACACCTATCTTTAAGCCTTATTGCCCCCAAATCCCCCCCCCCCTCCCCCGGTTGGAGACCACTGCCCTATGAGACAGAAAAGGACAACTCAAGACTACACAGCAACAATGCTAGAACCATGTATACTAACTGATGAAAAAGAACAAGTCATTAAGCAGTTTCTCAAATACAAAGCACCCTGATCTGATAGATAAACACAGAGACAATCCATGTAGCAGGTAAAAGCAAATCAGCCTCACAGAACAACAAACTGCCCACACGGAGTGGCAAAAAAACAACACATTGAGGTGGCTGCTGAATCGGCGAACTGAACACGAATGGGAATGCCCAATGTGCTCTGACGTCGATTATGAAAACATAATCACTATAGAAGAATAAAGGAAGCAAGCCAGAATGTCGTTAGAACCAAGATACTGGTAAACAGAATCACTGAACAGATGGGATTTAGGAAAAACAGAAGCTCCATAGATAAAATTTGCACAATGAAACAGTTTAAAGACAGGAAAAAAAATTATACTTTACGAAAAGAACTTTGGCCTGTTTGTGGCATTTGTAGACAAAAAGAAGGCATTCGACAGAGTCGATAGACAAGTATTATGGAAAGTCATCATCAGTTTCCACTTCTGCCGTTGAGCATTATGGGGAGGAACAGCTTGCGATCCATTGCTTGATGAGTAGCCCTTGCTGTTGTCATTACGTGTCAATGTACGTGTAGAAGCTCTTTAATGTCATCAGTCCATGTTCTCCTGGGGTGGCCTCTTGATTTTACTTCAGATCTTTTCATGTTTAGCGCCTGATTTTGTAATTATTGTGACTTGGGCTGTATTCTGTGATCTTCTTTTATTTATTTTATCTTTTGTTTTTCAATGAATTTGCTGCATGATTTTGTTCATATAGTCTGAAAGTAAATTTAAGTGTCTGGGCACATGGATAACATCAGATGGAAGATGCATAACTGAGATAAGAAACAGAATAGGACAGGCAAAAACTGTATTTTATAAAATGAAAAACATCTTGTGCAATATATCCTTGTCATTGAGAGTTAGAAAAATAATTCTTGCTTGCTACATACATCCAGTTTTAACATATGGCTGTGAATCCTGGACAATCGGTAGGCAAGCCAAACAATTTCTAGAGGCCTCAGAGATGTGGTTTTACAGAAGAATGCTTAGGATACCTTGGACAGCCAAAAAGAGCAACCAATAGGTTTTGAAAGAGGCGGGAGCTCTAAAACAACTTATCACAGACATCAGAAGGAGACAGTCATCATTTTTTGGCCATGTTATGAGAAGAGGGAAAATAGAATATGTTGTGACCACTGGAAAGATCTGTGGAAGGAGGGATAGAGGAAGACAACCAGAGAAGATGCTTTGACAGTCTTGTTGCATGGCATGGAGGTGTGTCGACACAGGAACTGATACATGCTGCAGGAGATCGCAGATTATGGAGAGGCACGATCGCCCACGCCAGTCGGCAAGGCACCTGATGATGATGATGAGTCTGAAAGTATCATTTCTTACGTTGTCTCAGATGGTTAAGTCTCGATCTGGATTAACCACTGCTGTTTATCAACTACATCGACAGTATATGCAAGGATATCAAGCCCAGGAAAGAAAATTTTAATAAGATCAATAAATTGCTCTTTGCTGATGACCAAGCTGCATATAAGACTTCCTACAGCAGAACAACGGAGAGGAAGGCGAGGAGGAGACCAAGCAAGAGATGGATAAATTATGTAGCCGAAAATTGTAAAAAGTTTAACAAATTCACCATCCAAGCCACCTCGGAAGGGCAAGACACTTGGCTATCACCTGGTATTAGTGAGACGGTAAAAAAAAAGAAGAAGAAGAAGAAGAAGAAGAAGAAGAAGAAGAAGAAGAAGAAGAAGAAGAAGAAGAAGAAGAAGAAGAAGAAGAAGAAGAAGAAGAAGAAGAAGACTAGACCTTGGTCGCAAATTCAGTCATTAAATTACAACAGCATCTCAGAGTATGTAAAATTAATATTATGACAATAAACACTTAAAGGACACAGTAATGAAAATAGGAAGACCCAAAGCAGGAACTAAATACAGCAGTAGAGTGCAAAGGCATTAAATAGGCAGGTGAGTTTAAAAAATATCTAGGAACAGCAGTCACCAAAGATGGAACATTTTATGAAAAAAAAATTAACATCAGATTTAGTAAAGCAACTCAAGTATTTGGGATAACTGGCCTCTTTTTTTTTTTACAGAAAAAGACTATATCGATCAGCACAAAGAAATATCTCATAAAATGCATATTCATTCCCACTCAATGCTTTCACACCGCGAAATTAAGATGTCTGAGAAAGGCCATATAAAGCTTATACTAAAAAATGAAAAGGACGTAGAGCACAATGCAGACCAAGAGCAAGATGGAATGATAACGTCAGAAAAACTCTACAACATCATGGTTGTCTATGGTCGAGGCGGTCAGAACAGTTCCCCCCCCCCCTTTTTCATTTAAAAAAAACAAAGCATAGAACCTATATCTCCCTCCACACCCGAAGCGGTAAAAGTGGAAATGATGATTACATATAATGCGGCCCTTTTTTATTCTGGTGATACGCAATAACGCTACTTTTTAAGGCATCATTTTAGTAATACTGTAAAATGCGCTTTAGGTACCGGCACCTTTTTAAAAAATACGCTTTATGAGAAGTTTTTAAGAGAAAAAAAACTCTTTATGTAATGATATATCTATAGTCACTACTGCGGGAATATTAGTTTCAAACGGTGTATGTCGTTAAACACAACAATATCAGCTGTAATTTTTTTTTTTTTTTTTAATAAAGAGAACCGTAAAATAATGAGAAAGATATAGAATAAAGATCTTTTTATAAGTTTCGTTAATTATCACATTCCGAGGCAAAACGGAAACACGCCCATGGCTTGTTGAACTGTCTTGTCCAAACCGGCAAGTGGCTGACTAGAGTGACAGTGACAATAACGGCAGTACATTCGTCAGTCTCGTCTTCTATGCATTTCTTCAACATGTCTTCGGTCTCAGATACCGATGTGAAAGTGGAAATACAAGAAATTGAAGTAGATGAATTACCGGTGGAAATGCAAATAGAGACGGTTGAAACCACAGATGAAGTGTCAGTACAACCCATGATCGCACTGCAGCCTTTGCAAGAAACCGCCGAGGAAATTAATTTTACAAACCCGCGAAGAAGTTGTTGGTGATCTTATGTATCATCACGGAGATTCAATTCCAGTTCCAGCACCAGAAATTGAAATTTCTTCAGAGGAAGTTATTCCGATGAGAAAAGGAAAAGGGGGTAAGAGAAAAGGAAAATCTAGAAATACACTTCAAACAAGCGGTTTCGTGAACGATTTGGGACTTTGTGATTCTTCTGTGAAAAAATGGGAACAGAAACAAGTTCAGATAAAGACATTAGAAGGGGAATTTTCAGTGACGATGTGGGCCTCCGGTAAGTGATATTTCATTCTTGTAAGTTTGTTAAAACTCAGAATAAAATTAGTTTTTATTTAGCTGACTGCTGCAGCAGCAATCAATCATTTGACAGGAATGTTGAATGTTTGTCGGGGTGGTACAGCTTTGGTCCAGCGTGGTCCTTTCACTGTCCTCTGGAAAGTTTAAGAATACTGTCAGATGGCTGTATTTATGTATTTTTGTGCGGTTTGCCGTCCGTATTTCAATGTTTGTTGTTTTTCATTTGTTTGTTTTGAAACTAAGTCGGCCATTACGATTCTATGGACGCCGCCATATTCTTAGTTAGTGAAAATGGCGGTGTAGAAATGAAGATGGCGACCGGTAGCCATCTTGGCTTGTAGTTTTGGACAACAGTCAGTGAAAGACGACTATTCGACCAAAAACTCTGTCATAGTTAGTATAGTTTTTGTCAGTTTGACTCCCAGAAAACAGGACATATAAGGACGAGGCATTGAAATAAAGAACATATTTTGATGTTTGTTTATTGATATGGTGGATTTTGAAGTTTTATTGATGTAACGACCTTGGGCATAACCGAAAATGGACGTCACGGGAATAATTTCAGCGGAAGGCGTCTAGGCAGTGCTATTAATAGACACAGATGACGTTGCTATGATGATGATGGTGTTGATTTGAGTTTCGCTCTCTCAGTTATCAACAAAAACATTCAACCTGTCTAGAAAGTAAACACATAACAGAAAAGAGCGGGTAGTCGGTGCCCAGCTGATATTGACCACGTCAACTCCCCCCCCCCCCCCCCGCCGCCTCCAATCGCTTTTTGTTTGTTTGTTCATTGTTGTGTTGCGCTTTAGTTTTTTTAGTCCATGAAAAAAAATAGTAAAATACCGTCTGATCTGGCACCTTTCCTTTAACGTTAATGTCAGACTGGCCTGTGAAAGTACAGTAGCGGTACTGAAACTAAGTTATTATCAAAGAAGACATTGCATTGTCTTTTACAATTTTCTCTTGATTCCGACTTAGCGCGCCGCCCCGCCACGAAGAAAATATTTGGGGGGAAAAAGGGGGAGGGGTCAAACAACTTTTTATGTGCAACAAATGGAAAAAAATTAATCTGGGGAGGGGGGGGGGGCGCACCTAATTTAAATAAGAATTTTTTTTAACACGGACTTTATACAACCCGACTTACGCGGCAACAACAACAATGGCTGGGGCTCAAACTCCTTCAGCCACCCCCACCACCTTACACATTTTAATGGCAAATAATTGGTTTAGGGGGGGGGGGGGGGCACTCTATGGTACATCTGGCACCCAATTATTTTGTAAGGGGTCTAAAATGCCCATAATTAACAGTGCATAGAAATGATCTTTCAAAGTATTTCTATATACATTTCATATTGTTTCAAAGAGTATTGTATCATATTTATTTGCCATTCAACACTTTCTCATTATTATCATTAATGTTCATACTAGAAACAACATTGCAGATATAGGTAATCAATTTCAAGCGAACAAAAGAAGAAGATTATTATTATTAATGTGCTGAACGTCAAATAAATATGACAAATATACTCTAAATAATATGCTCTTCTTCCCATCAGGAAATATGTAAACAAACACTTCTAAAGACACTTTTTATACATTATTAATTAGAACTTCTTTCCTAGTAAGTGAAGTAAAGGACCCTTTTTCTGGCTATTGGGTGTATAGCATTAGGCCTATTCTTTATAGACATATGGCACAAGATAGGTGATGTGGTCAGCATCACGCCGGTTGCCTTTACTTTCCAGGACTGCACGTGGTACCCACTCAAGGCTGGGTCGACCTGGAAGCCTAGATCATTTTTGAAAAAAGGAATTCCGGCTCCACCAGGGAGTGAACCCACAACCTTCCGCTCCGCAGACGAGCATCTAGCAGCTACGCCACAGGGACTTCACTTCTTTCCTAGTACCCTTACAAAATTATGAGCACCCCCCCCCCCCTTTTTTCTCTCCCCCCCCCCCCCCCCCGTAATATTTTTTTTGCTTAAGACGCTTAAAGCCCCAGGTTTCGATACCTGTGCCCAACTCGTAGTAGTAATAGTAGTGTAATAATAAAAAAAAACATAAATATGTACTTATTTTATATTGTCATCTTTTTTGCTATCTTCTCTCTTTCTCTCTCTCTCTCTCTCTCTCTCTCTCTCTCTCTCTCTCTCTCTCTCTCTCTCTCTCTCTCTCTCTCTCTCTCTCTCTCTCTCTCTCTCTCTCTCTCTCTCTTTCTCCACCATAATGCCACTGCACCAATGGAATGAAAAGGCTGCTTGCCATGCAAATGTGCCATGCAAAAACATGACTGTTCCAGTAATAGAACTTTCCTCAACCCTTTCTCTCTTAGTGGATTTACTGCCCAGAATAACAGCCTAGGTCTTAAAATAGTACTATTATGGGACAAAAGAAGTTGAAGCAGTAAGCTGGAAATAGTGCATAAATATTACACCCAGAAAAGGCATAGGAGCTGATTTAAAAAAAAAAATTTATGCAATTTGTTGTTGACACCTTTCCAGATGACAGTGATATATTGTGCCGTGAAGAGAACTCCAGCCCATGGCAATTTCTCTACATAGTACAAATCCTGGGCAGTATTGTACAGACCATATGTTGCCTGTACATCATGATCCCTCTCTTGACCTCCTTTGTTTACTTCAAAGGAAAGGTAACATCAGGAGATTTGGACCAGAGCATGCTGCAGCAGCTGCCGGATCAGAGGAGCAGTACTCTGTCTGCATGTCAGAGTTTCCTTCCTAGACCAGCTGCCAGCTAAGGGCCTGGTCTGCCCTGCCCTGCAATAACATAGTTTTTAGGTGGCATTTCTTCTTCCTAGGATAAGACTAGTATTGTTCCCCATGCTGCTGGCCCAAATCAACCGGAATCAGTATGTAAGCCCAACATTTGGCATTAAGAGAAAGCTAGTAATACTAGCTAAGTTATACAGTTGCTCAGTCATATCTGACCAAGACATGACTGGAATCAGTATAGGAGCCCTAATAAAAGAATGATGTGTTGCTTGGCACTGAAGAGGTTAACTATTTCAATCCCAAACAATGCCTGATGTGTTAATGGATCTCTTCCTTGATTCCTCCTCCACAGCATAATTGCTCTTTGTTTAATTTTTGGTCATTGCTCACTAAAGAAATCTGGCTTTTTCAAATAGTCACTACCACTGTGTCTGTTGCCACTTATTAATTCAGTACCATTGACTTCAGTAAGGGTTAAACATAAGAGCACCACTTGTTGCATCTATATATTTTTATACAAAAATACACATGCTAAAATAATTTTTCTTTAAACCTAAAAACTGTAAATTAAATAAACACTTATTTCACACACAAATACACATCTCTGCTTATAATTTGCATAATAATTAATGAGGCAACATTGGACCTTGTATTATCAACATTATTCATAAATCAAGGGACATTTATTTAATTCAAATATTTAATGAAATGTACCTTTCATTTTCTGTGTTTATTTATTTATTATTTTTAGTTGTCCTGTCTTCTTCTTCTTCAACCTTCAAGCCCTTGAGGTTCTTTATTGCAGATATCACCCACCTACATTCATCTGTATGACTGGCCTTCTCTTTCTAGTTGGTGACTCCTAAGTGTTTAGAGGTCTGACACTATATTATCTCTCCACTGTCTTCCTGATCTATTCCTATTCAACTCTTATGTGCTTGTGCAATTTTGGTCTCTCTGCTAAATGTCATTCTCTCGAGATACCCCATCTGTTACAGTCTGTTAGTATTCATAATGTCAGTAATTAATGGTAATTGAAACTAATTATGAATTTCATTGTTGCCTCTCACTCTGCATTCTTCCGTTTGTATTTCATTTTTAAAGTTGTCTTTGACATTTGACCATTAACATATTTTTGAAATGCCTGCACAATGTAATATTCCAGAGGACCAGTCAAAGTTAGACGAGGATTCAGCTGCAGGTGATTCTGATGCAGATTTCGCAGAGTATATGACAGGAAAGAAGATGCCTCCTGGTGGCATGCCCGGCCTTGACCTCAGCGATCCAAAACAGTTAGCAGAATTTGCCAGGTAGCTATAGCATCTTTCACATACATTTTGTTGAATCAAGACTGGTGTATACAAATTCAAGTTAAGAGGATCAACATCATCGCACCAGATTTGATCCTGTCTGGCTCATCCTTTCTGTGCAAAATAGCTAGCCACCTGCTGAGAGCATCACACAGAGGACTAACATCATAGCTGTAGTGGCCATCCCAGGGATCTCTATAAAAATTGCCACAGTGAACTGAATGACGTAGTTGTGGAATAAATGCACCACATTCGGTGTGTGAGGCAAGTGGTTTGACTACTTCACTGTGGAGACATCCTATGGTCAACAACATATGTGTTTGTATCATTTCTCATTATGCCTAGTGGCATACTAGGCTTTCCATGCTTTCCTGTCCTGTGCAGTTTTCCATATCAGAGATGCCGCATTCAGGTCACTCTCCATCGTCCGTCTCCGAGTTGTTTTTGGGCGCCACTTCTTTCTCTTTCCCTCTGGTGTCCACGTGGGAGCTGTTTTGGTAGGTATATCAGGATCCTTCTCATAACGTGGCCATTTCCATCTTCTCTTGGCTATCATACAGTCTAGAGTTTCTTGGTTTGTGACTTGAAGTAGTTTAGTGTTTGAGATTGTATCTGGCTAGAAAATTTTGATAATTCTTCGTAGACATGTGGTGGAAGGTGGATAGCTTGTGTGCATTCTTTTTAGTCATTCTCCAGCATTCTGCTACATTATGAAGAACTGGCAAAATGATGCTCTTATAGAGTCGAAGTTTTGTTCCTCTACAGTAACTGTTGGATTTCCAGATTTGCCTCATCCTTCCTAAAGCAACTCTAGCATTGTTCAGGCGTGACTGTATGTCTTTCTCTGTCCCTCCCAGCAGGGACACCACACTACCAAGATATGCAAAATGTTCTACATTTTCGTTTGGTTATTTATGGTCACTGGTTGTTGGTTTGGACTGTTTGTCATGATCTTAGTTTTCCTTGAATTTATTCTGTCCCACCATTTCTGCTATGCTGTGTAGTCTGTTACTTTTTTCTTGTATATGTTCATGTTTGAGTGATAGGAGTGCTTATCATCTGCAAAATCAAGGTCCTCAAGCATTGTGAATGTCCATCGTATGCCTTGTATAATGAATCATAATTCATCACTTGTGGGTAAATTATTGTCTTGAAGCTATCTCAAACCTGAGTAGTCCTGGCACTTTAAAAGTTAGGATGTGTTGGCTGCAAAAAGAAAATATCGCAGCCATGTTGTAATCAAGCATGGCACATTTAAGTCTGTGAATGCAGAAGAAGAAAAAATAATTGTAATTATTTACACCACAAGTGATTTTTTTTTCGTTTTCTCTAGACCATGTTCTGCCTTTCACTCTTCTTCTTCTTCTTCACTTCCTCTTTTACCGCTGTGGGTGTCGAGGGAGATATAAGGTTCTGTCTCTAGCTCTTCTGGCTGCCTCGACCATAGGCACATCGTGCTGTTGTAGAATTTCTCTGATGTTATCCTTCCATCTTGTTCTTGGTCTACCCCGTGCTCTTCGTCCTTCTTCTCTTTCCATGTATGCTTTGTATGGTATGGTGTCACAAGGCATTCTCTCTAAGTGGGCAAACCATTTCACTTGCTGTCTTTGTATGTAATCCAGAATTGGTTCTGTGCTGACTTGTTCTCTTATGATCTCATTCCTGATCTTATCTCTTATGGTCACTCCTACAGCCCTTCTCAGACATCTCATTTCTGTGGTTACTAATTTTCTTTTATGGTTCTGCCTGTCACTGCCAGGTTTAAAAAAAAGACACCTGGTGCAAGCCTTGGTATGAGCTAATTTGATGCTGGTGTTCATAGCTTCAGCTATTTCATCTATCCATGGCTTGCGTAGGTGCCCTCTAGTTTTGCTTCCAGTGTGTTTGAGTCACAGGGTTCTCTATTTTGCAGTCTTAACAGTCTTGTGATACTTGTCTCTTTATGTAGTTTAGCACTGGCTTTGCCCCAACTTGTTTCCTGATATTGTCATTGCTAATCTTGTTTCTTCTTCTTACATTTAGGAATTTGGACATTTCATTTCAATTTTTCCATTGTTCTTTTCTTTGTAATGTCATTTTTGGCATGGTAACACCATATTGGTTTAAACAAGAAAAACTGTATACTCACAATATTTATATATACACAAGTGGGTGTAAATAATTGAAAAAGTTATATATAAAAAAAAAGTATGGGAAAGTTTAATATAAAACTCTTCTTTTTTTCACTGAGGTTTGGTCCTGTTTGTTTGTTTGGTTTTTGTTTTCTTTTCATTTGTTGGGACAGGATAAAGACTAGGAAACCAACAGACGATGTACCCCGCACGGTTCCATGTCCACACAAGGTAATGTTGCATTTCTTGTTGACCAGCAGACTATCTGTATCAGTTATCTGATTCTAATGAATACTTGTGAAATTGTTTTACTGTTTGTTTTCTTATGGGGTCCTGGTGGGGGGGGGGGGGGGGGGTGGTGGAAAATAGGCCCACTGACCTGTTACCATGCACGTCACAAAAGGCGGCTAATTAGGGGTTTGCCAAAAGTGATGTGATAAGCCAGAGTCCTCCCTGGCCAAGTGGTCAAGCTGTTTTCTTCGCACTTCGAAGGTCATGGGTTCATTTCAATTCACAGTTTTTACAGAGATCCCTGGGGATTGTCGCTGAAGCATGGGGAATTCATGTTTTGTACGATGCTTTTCTTCAGGGCTAACTGTTTTATGGAGAGAGAATGAGCTATGTGGTATAAAACCTAAAACACAACAGTGCCAGCCATTTTTTAAAGGATTAATGCAGAAGACTATAGTTCTTTGCACAAATATATTGATTTCATTATTGTTTGTGTGTGTTTATGGATTTTTCTATGTGCATGTTTGCTCTGCTGTATGTTCTTTAGATCTAGTCACATAATTTGTTAATGCTGGGGGGGGGGGGGGGCTGCACTAACTGCTTTGTAATTTCAGTCTGTATTTTTATTATAAGGACAGCTGATTGCTAAGAAAGGGACTTCAGAAAATTTAGAGGAACGAGTATAAATTGTGGCACCCCCAGGGATATATTAGGCCACGACACACTACAGCTCACACACTACAGCCTTCAAAATACCACACTGACATATTTTGCAGTCTCATTTAGAATAGGCCCTAGAAATTCCCAAACAATGGTAATTCTGAAAATGAGGCTGCTGGCAAAAGCGGAAGGGTTAATTTTGTCACATAACCCTGCTTAAAGAAGCAAAGATGCTTATTAATTGAAAGTATTTTAAAGCATAGATAACAATGTGCCAACACACAATCCCATTCTAGTGTCAGACAGGATTCACCTACATATCCCCCATCCTCCATTGTTAGATCCTGTACAGGATTTTAGTTGCAATCAAATGGGGGGCATTTATACATTGTATAAGTTTTAGGACATCACTGCCAGCCACAATCCCTGGCATGTCCTCGCTAAATCTCTATATACCTTTCTCCTTGACTTACGACTTATGCGAGTCACAAGCATTTGCATTTTACGACCTACCCCAAAAAATTAAGTAAATAGAAATAGTCAATAAAGGTAACTACATTGGTAGGGTCAAAAAGATACACAGACCACAGCAGGGTCTAATTACATTTTTGTGATTGTTGTACAATTTTTTTAGCCCATTCGAATAAAAATAGTGTTGAAAAATATAAATTTGACTTATGGTCAGTTCGACTTTTTACGACTTGTTATCTGAAACGGAACTTGGTCATAAGTCAAGGAGACCCTATATGTATTTACTTCTAAAATATAGGTTTCAAAAAAAAAAAAAAGAAATCAAGAACTGTAAAAGGAATTTACGTATATCTCAAGTATTAATAATGTCAGCATTTCCCATATTATGTTGTGGTAGTTCTTAAAAACTTGAACAACATTTGCAATGAAATATTACTCTTAGGGATGTAACAAAATGTTCCGCGATAATTCTGCCATGCGGAAACACCTTCACACCCATGGGCCTAGGGTGCATGTCTGTGCTGAGTGTGGGAAAGCTTTTGTTGAAAGTTCAAAGTTAAAAAGACATCAGCTTGTCCACACAGGAGAAAAGCCATTCCAGGTCAGTTTTTGTTTTTAAATAATATAGTTTCATCATGGTATTTTGTATTTCATACTTTCATGGCTGTATGATTCCACTCTCTCATATGTTGAAATTATCAGCTGAACAGAACAGACCAAGTCAATTGTTTTGTGTGTGCTTATGCACTGGTCACTGCAGGCTCAACTAATGCTCATATACATTAGGTATGGGCTAAGCAGTGTCAGTGTCTTCATGCTGAACAGACTTCAGAACATGTCTTGCAAGGCTGTCTTATCCTGGAGACCATTGTGAAGCATGTGGCCACGCCTAGTAGACCTAACAGCTAAGCTTTGGGGAAGCCTTAGAGACCTTGAGATGACATCCCAGTTTATGGCCCACAGTGGATTAAGTGCATGATCAGAGATTGCTGAAGAAGATATGTTGGAATTAATTTATTCCAGACTGTCCTGGTGTTTTGGAGATGTGTAATTCCACATGTCATGCTATATTGGAAAATGCGATTTCACATTGTCCTGACATTTTTTGGATGCGTGTGACTCAACATTGTCATGGTATATTGCAGATGTGTGAGTTTACATTGTCATGGTGTACTGGGGATGTGATTCTACACTGACATGGTGTACTAGGGATGTGATTCTACACTGTCATGGTATACTGGGGATGTGATTCTACACTGTCATGGTGTACTGGGGATGTGATTCTACACTGACATGGTGTACTGGGGATGTGATTCTACACTGACATGGTGTACTGGGGATGTGATTCTACACTGACATGGTGTACTGGGGATATGTGATTCTACACTGACATGGTGTACTGGGGATGTGATTCTACACTGTCATGGTATACTGGGGATGTGATTCTACACTGTCATGGTATACTGGGGATGTGATTCTACACTGACATGGTGTACTGGGGATATGTGATTCTACACTGACATGGTGTACTGGGGATGTGATTCTACACTGACATGGTGTACTGGGGATATGTGATTCTACACTGACATGGTATACTGGGGATATGTGATTCTACACTGACATGGTGTACTGGGGATGTGATTCTACACTGACATGGTATACTGGGGATATGTGATTCTACACTGACATGGTGTACTGGGGATGTGATTCTACACTGACATGGTGTACTGGGGATATGTGATTCTACACTGTCATGGTGTACTGGGGATGTGATTCTACACTGTCATGGTGTACTGGGGATGTGATTCTACACTGTCATGGTATACTGGGGATATGTGATTCTACACTGACATGGTATACTGGGGATATGTGATTCTACACTGTCATGGTATACTGGGGATATGTGATTCTACACTGTCATGGTATACTGGGGATATGTGATTCTACACTGTCATGGTATACTGGGGATATGTGATTCTACACTGTCATGGTATACTGGGGATATGTGATTCTACACTGACATGGTATACTGGGGATATGTGATTCTACACTGACATGGTATACTGGGGATATGTGATTCTACACTGTCATGGTATACTGGGGATATGTGATTCTACACTGTCATGGTATACTGGGGATATGTGATTCTACACTGACATGGTGTACTGGGGATGTGATTCTACACTGTCATGGTATACTGGGGATATGTGATTCTACACTGACATGGTATACTGGGGATATGTGATTCTACACTGACATGGTGTACTGGGGATATGTGATTCTACACTGACATGGTGTACTGGGGATATGTGATTCTACACTGACATGGTATACTGGGGATATGTGATTCTACACTGACATGGTATACTGGGGATATGTGATTCTACACTGACATGGTGTACTGGGGATATGTGATTCCACATTGTTTGTATACTGGGGATGTGTTATAAAACACTGTCATGGTAAACTGGGGATTCACCACACTGTCCGTCATGACATGTTGAATATATGCAGTTCTAGTGATATTAGGGCCTTGTTGCCTAGCTGATATTTTTCTAACTGAATGGGCATTTGTTTGGGGGTGAGTTTAATGCTGTGTTGTCTGCCTTAATTCTCCCCCCCCCCCCCACCAACCCCCTCGTTTTCCAGACAATCTGAAACCTATTTTCATAAAGTATATTGAGGTTCTCAGAGAGGCTAGATAGTAGTCTTGAGAAGATTTTCTATTTACACTGTCTTGTTACTAGTTGTGTGTCCTTCGCAGCGTATTGCAGAGCCAACTCCATATTTGTTGGCTGTTTTGATTTTACAAGCCAATTAATGCATTCAACAGTTTGCCCTTGCTTTCTGAGCGGTCAGCTCTGGATACCCCATGAGCCACTTTAGAACCCATATTTAATTATTTATTTAAAAGCCACTTTAAATAGAGCTTGTCATAAAGTACAATGCCAGCATTTAAAAAAAATGTCATAGTTTGGCTTTAGGTAGTTTGGAAGGCTTACCCCCAGGTGGTTAGACAAGCAATTTATTTATCCATGGTAGAGTTATTTAAAGAATAAGAATCATTTAAGTAATTCTGTATTCTTCTTCTTTGCGTTCGGTTTTTTGTATGCTCAGATCAGACCATCAGGTGGGTTACCTCTGTGAACTCGCATGTCAGTAGCAGGTCCTTCATGGTTCCCCATAGCTTGCTCTGCACAGGTTGCTCTTTAGACCAGGTGTCTTCTCAAAGTTGTAGGTAGAGTGGGCAGGTCTGCATTTAGAGCTCAGTTGTTATGTGGTCCTGTTTGACAGGCATAATTCTATATAAAGCATTGAATGCAACTTAGATTGTTGGTCTTGGGAGGATTTTATATGTGCATTTATTATTGCTGGTTGAGTGTTCTTTACAGATGTAGCAGAACCAAACCCCAGTATTTGTTGGCTGTTTTGATTTTATTCAGCAATTTTACATTCAGCGATTTGCCATTGCTTTCTGAGCTGTCAGCTGTAGATATCCCTGTTGAAATCAATGCAAGGTGGTCTTCTGCTAGATCCCCTGCAGCTGAAATTGAACTGGGTACTTCAGAATAACCAAGCGTGTTTGCAACACTTGAGCTACAGGTGGCGACTTACATATTGACAAAATACTTTTTTTTTTAAGTATAGAGAAGTGTAAAGTATGTGTCAGCTTTACAGGACCAGTTAACAGTAAACAAAGTATGTTGCAGTGATTAGCCTTCATCAGCAGAACGTCTAACAGAAACTCTGAAATAATTACATTAAGATGTTCAGATTTAACTTAAGGAAATAGAACAGCATAATAATAAATGGCAGATTTGTATAAAGTTAGTGATACTTACCTGGACAGCTGTCTTATTTTTATTGCCACTTTTCTACCTACAGTGTACATTTGAAGGCTGCGGGAAAAGATTTTCTTTGGACTTTAATCTACGAACACATGTCCGGATTCACACAGGTGACAGACCTTATGTTTGTCCTTTTGATGGATGCAATAAGAAGTTTGCACAGTCTACAAATCTCAAGTCACATATTCTCACTCATGCTAAAGCAAAGTACGTCTGTGTTTGTGAATTTTTTTGTTATACTTCAGAATTCTCAGTTTGTATCTTTACCGTCTGTCACTCTACTACACTCTGTTTTTCCATAGTCATAAAGTAAATGATACTTTTCCATGCCTTCGGGCGTATTGGGCATATAGTGCTAGACCTATATTTTTAGACCAGTTGGCATTTGGTGAGTGATGTAGGCTAGCTTTACTTCTTAGGACATTATCTGACACTCATTCAAGGCTGGGTCGACCTGGGAGCCAAGATCATTTTGAAAAAATGTCAGACCGCTTTAGGATTTGAACTAACAACATTGGGATAAGCCGGGAAGCATGTGATTTCACATATTTTGGGATGCAGAGGTGCAGTCACTGGATGTGGTTATTTGCCAGGACCATGGCTGAGGCTGGGCAAGACCTGGATACACCTCTGTGGTCATCTGAGAACCTGTTCCCTACTGAGAGCCTGTTCCTTACTGAGAGCCTGTTCCCTACTAAGAGCCTGTTCCTTACTGAGAGCCTGTTCCATACTGAGAGCCTGTTCCTCACTGAGAGCCTGTTCCTTACTGAGAGCCTGTTCCTTACTGAGAGCCTGTTCCTCACTGAGAGCCTGTTCCTTACTGAGAGCCTGTTCCTCACTGAGAGCCTGTTCCCTACTGAGAACCTGTTCCTCACTGAGAGCCTGTTCCTCACTGAGAACCTGTTCCTCACTGAGAGCCTGTTCCTCACTGAGAACCTGTTCCTCACTGAGAGCCTGTTCCATACTGAGAGCCTGTTCCATACTGAGAGCCTGTTCCATACTGAGAGCCTGTTCCTCACTGAGAGCCTGTTCCTTACTGAGAGCCTGTTCCATACTGAGAGCCTGTTCCATACTGAGAGCCTGTTCCATACTGAGAGCCTGTTCCTTACTGAGAGCCTCTTCCATACTGAGAGCCTGTTCCTTACTGAGAGCCTGTTCCTCACTGAGAACCTGTTACCTACTGAGAGCCTGTTCCATACTGAGAGCCTGTTCCTTACTGAGAGCCTGTTCCTCACTGAGAACCTGTTCCATACTGAGAACCTGTTCCTCACTGAGAGCCTGTTCCTCACTGAGAACCTGTTCCTCACTGAGAGCCTGTTCCTCACTGAGAACCTGTTCCTCACTGAGAGCCTGTTCCATACTGAGAGCCTGTTCCATACTGAGAGCCTGTTCCTCACTGAGAGCCTGTTCCTTACTGAGAGCCTGTTTCTTACTGAGAGCCTGTTCCTCACTGAGAGCCTGTTCCATACTGAGAGCCTGTTCCATACTGAGAGCCTGTTCCATACTGAGAGCCTGTTCCATACTGAGAGCCTGTTCCTCACTGAGAACCTGTTACCTACTGAGAGCCTGTTCCATACTGAGAGCCTGTTCCTTACTGAGAGCCTGTTCCATACTGAGAACCTGTTCCTCACTGAGAGCCTGTTCCTCACTGAGAACCTGTTCCTTACTGAGAGCCTGACCTCCAGAAATAATATCGTCATTTCCTTTGAAGTCAGAGCACATCTGCCAGGAGATTTAAAAAATTTACCTGCAGTCTGCATATAAACAAACCAGATCTTTAAAATGGATATGCAGGCATCACTCAAGTTCTAAAAAAAAGGACTTGAGTCCAGTCATGGATGAACAACCAGAACAGCCGATGAAGGCAAAAGAAAAGAAAGTTTTATTTGTATAAATTTATTGTTTTGTTTTTAATTTATCTGATTCGTGTCTTAAGTTGTACACTCTTAAAAAAAAAATATTGCGTGTCTGTCCTTTTTGTATTGAAAATCAAGACTGTTTTCTTCACACACGCTATCCTCTCTCCTATACACCTTCCTGCCTCTTCAGTTCTGTAGGGTGTGGTTATATTTCCAGTCGTTAATTTCATATTAAGTTTGCATATAAACAGATGGCACTGCCTTCTGGTAGTAATTGCTTTATGCCTGGTGTCATGTCCACACCCTTCTGTTTTATGTACTGCGGATCACTTGTGATCATCTAGTCAGAATGGAACAAAACCAGCCAACAGCTATTGCATACTACATGAGAAGAGCAGACTACAAGGCAAGGGGGCCACCAAGAAAGGTATAGATGGAGGGGGAAAAGGGGGACTCTGCAGAAACACAGTAAGACATTAACACAAGCTACACACCTAGCAGAAGACAGGAAACTACTCTAACTCATGTCTGTGCCGCTTTATGGCATAAGTAGTAGGAAAAAAAGAAATAAGATCGCTTGTGATACAGATGTCCTGTCTTGCCGTGAGGCCAAACAGTTTCCTCTCTTGGTCTGCCCCTGCCTCTGTTTCCCTCAGACTTTTGCTGGCATGATTAGTCCCAACTCAGCACAGTTGAAGTCATGACTAGTTCCCAGATGGGGGGGGTTGGGGCCTTGAGCCTGAAAATTCAAAGCTGCCTGGATAAATCAGGTTCTTTCCTAACAGCCGTCCAGATATGACGTCACAGGACAGTCCAGTATTTTTTAGGGTAGTAAGAGTGGGTTTTCTGTGCTTTAGCGCGTTTCTTCTAAGGCCAAGATTTTTTCGTGTTAACCTAACTCCTAATCAAAACTACGCTTAATCTGCCTGTCCCATGACCTATGAATTTTCCCTGTTTGTGGTAGGATATTATGAGAGTACCATAAATTACTTGCCATTGTACAGTTTAAGGCATTTATATTTGCCCTAACTGAAAAACAAAAACATTATGAACCTATACTTGTTAAAATGTGGGCTTAGTGCTTTTATATATTTTTTTAAAAGGATATATTAATAATGTCACTTCTTCATTGTTGTTACTATTATTATTTGTGGTTCTTAATGCTTGTAATAAAGTGTGAAAAATTACCTGAGGCAGGGGACAGGACATGAGAGAGAGGGAGAATGACAAGTATACTTGGACTTCTTTTTGAATTTTTTTTCAAAATTATCAATTTTTATGCCTTCTTTTCCCTGTTGCGTCTGTATCCAGGATAGACAGGTCATCCAAAACAATGTTGGTGTTTTCTGACCAAGGATCTGTAGATGGTGATCAGTGGTAAGTGTGCAGTGTTAGAATGTAATTAGTAGATTTTTATCTCTTTCAGCACTAAGCAACTCACTGTGCTTTTACTGATTATACATGCTATGCTTGCCTTACCTGCCTGTTCTTATCTACTAATTTTTCTCTGTAGTATCATTATTTGAACCATTTTAGACCCAGACATACTTTACTATTCGTAACACATGTTTAGTACACAATCACTTAGGGCAGTGCCTACCTGGGACTGAAAGAGACATGTAGACAACTGTGACATAAGTGGATACCAAACATCATCCATCTAAATTACAACAGGGACTGTCATGGAATTACTTTCAGGGACATATGGACAACTGTGACGTAAGTGGATACCAGGCATCATCCATCTAAATTGCAGGGACTGTCATGGAATTACTGTCAGGGACATGTGGACAACTGTGACGTAAGTGGATACCAGGCATCATCCATCTAAATTACAACAGGGACTGTCATGGAATTACTGTCAGGGACATGTGGACAACTGTGACGTAAGTGGATACCAGGCATCATCCAACTAAATTACAGGAACTGTCATGGAATTACTGTCAGGGACATGTGGACAACTGTGACGTAAGTGGATACCAGGCATCATCCATCTAAATTACAACAGGGACTGTCATGGAATTACTGTCAGGGACATGTGGACAACTGTGACGTAAGTGGATACCAGGCATCATCCATCTAAATTACAGGGACTGTCATGGAATTACTGTCAGGGACATGTGGACCACTGTGACGTCAATGGAAACCAAGCATCATCCATCTAAATTACAGGGACTGTCATGGAATTACTGTCAGGGACATGTGGACAACTGTGATGTGAGTGGATACCAGGCATCATCCATCTAAATTACAGGGACTGTCATGGAATTACTTTCAGGGACATATGGACAACTGTGACGTAAGTGGATACCAGGCATCATCCATCTAAATTACAGGGACTGTCATGGAATTACTTTCAGGGACATATGGACAACTGTGGCGTAAGTGGATACCAGGCATCATCCAACTAAATTACAGGAACTGTCATGGAATTACTTTCAGGGACATGTGGACAACTGTGGCGTAAGTGGATACCAGGCATTATCCATCTAAATTACAACAGGGACTGTCATGGAATTACTGTCAGGGACATGTGGACAACTGTGACGTAAGTGGATACCAGGCATCATCCATCTAAATTACAGGGACTGTCATGGAATTACTGTCAGGGACATGTGGACCACTGTGACGTCAATGGAAACCAAGCATCATCCATCTAAATTACAGGGACTGTCATGGAATTACTGTCAGGGACATGTGGACAACTGTGGCGTAAGTGAATACTAAGCATTATCCATCTAAATTACAGGGACTGTCATGGAATTACTGTCAGGGACATGTGAGCTGCAAAAGACTGAACAAGTGGATTTTTGGTTGACTTCAAAAGTGATAGCTACAAGAACACTCTTATTGGACAAGTAAGGCATGATGAAGACCATTTATGAATTAATACTGATGGAAAATACAGTGTCATATGAAATAACCTGTGTAAGGTTGTGGGAATTTGGAATTAAGCGTGGATCTAGCTAGAAAGAATGAATGGGAGGAAGAGTAAGATGTGTGTACAGTCAGTGTGCTTCTGGAACAGTCAACGTCTGCTCTTTAAGACATTTGCTGTGGTAGACGAAGCGTCTGTGAGTATGCTTGGTACTCTGTGGTGTTGATTCTTGAAGCAGTAATAAATGAAAATAATAGACCTGCTGCCTCCTAACAAGCATGTCTCAAGAGTCCACTAATTAGTAGGAATGTTTCCTTCAAAGTCAGAGTGCATTTGCCTGAGAGGCGAGGAACCTGCTGTGTGCATGCAAAACTCAAGTTCAGGAACACGACTTAAGTCCAGAAGTGGATGAACATTTATTGTTTAAATATATTTCTTTTCAGTTTGTCAGATGATGGTTTGTTAGTGTTTGACTACCGAAGCCAATCAGCTCATCAGATTCCTGGAGCACAGTAAGTTGTCTGATTTAACTAGTCATTTCCTCTGCACTTGTCTTTGCGTAATGAAATTTGTTAGTTGATGTTAGTGAAAACAATGGCCATCAGCTTCAATAATAATAAATACAAAGTTGTAATATCTGTAGAGAAATGCATCATACTTAAATGCACAAATAAAATCAGCTGTTTTAATTTGGGTCATATACTTAAACATAAATATATGAGTACCTGGAACATTTTAGATATACAGAACAGAATAGAAAAAGCAAGGTGTGCATTTTATTAATTTGTAAATTCTTATGTAATAAATCCCTGTCATTTGGAGGACCAGGCTAAATAGACACACAAAAACCTTGCTCTTTTAACCAGAATGGAATGACTCGACGATTAAGAAAGACAAAACCCTATTTTCCCTCATGGAATTAAGTGGACCTGGCAGGATGTTTGATGAAGTTAGCAGCCTAACGCAGTTTGTGATATGATGATGATTTTTATAAAGCGGCAGATCTGGGAAAACTGGTAGAATCTGAAATTCTAATGAGAGATGGCCAAATGTGTAAATCAGTCAGTGGGTTTTTTTTTTTTTTTTTTCGTGTGACTGCATTTCTGACATAACAATATTTAATATTTTAGTAGGTGCAAGTTAAGTGATAATTTTTTGTTGATTAAAATTATAGAACACTTATCAAAGGAAAATACAAGGAATTTTGAGACAACAAACTATCAGTAAACATCCACAAGACCCCATCAGCAGACTCAACAGAAAGCAACATACAACAATGTTCTGTCTTCGAACAGGACACTGCGCGCTCAACTACCACGTGCGTAAAATAAAGTTTTTACAGTCCCTACAGTGTGCCTGTCAAACAGGACCACAAACACCTGAGCACCTTCTGCAGATCTGCCCACTCAACCTACAGCTTCGAAAAGACACCTGGCCTCAAGAGCAAAATGTGCAGAGCAAGCTTTGAGGAACCACGAAGGATCTGCTGCTGACATGCAAGTTCATACAGGCAGCCCACCTGATGGTCTGATCTGAGCATATGAAACAGAATGCAAAGAAGAAGAATTAAAATTATTAATTGTTTATTTATAAAAATTACGAATTATTTATTCATTGATATTACTGATTATTTATTAAAATTACTAATTATTTATTTTTTTAAATTACTAATTATTAATTAATTAAAATTATCAACTATTTTTGATTAAAATTACTGTTTATTTATTAAAATTACACGGTAACTTCTTTGCTGCTGATTGTAACACAGTCGTGATTGTTGATCATCTTTATCCAGAGTGGGCCAGACGCTGACCTATGTGACAATACCTCCAGAATCTCCAGGTTGGGGGTGACAGTCTCGCCCCATTCCACAATATTAGTTCAGTTATAAGTGAGTACTGTTTCATGTATTCTCATTATGGGTCTCAAAACATAAGCTTCTTGATTGTGTTCACTGGCTGTAAACTCTGGCAGAAAGTTTTGATTATTTGTCCACCTCTGGACTTCAGTCTTGTTCTAAAGCCTGAGTGTTGCGTGCACATCCGTTTAACAGATCAGACTTATTTGTATGCAGATTGTTGGTTCCTGGCTTCTCAGGCAGAAGCACTCCGACTTTAAAGGAAGCTCCCAATTAGTCGACTCTTACAACATGCTTGTTGGGAAGGCAGTGGGTCTTTTCTTGTTATCCCCACAGTGGGCCTCCGGAACCCATACCAGGATGAAAATTAAAATAATTGTGTTTGCTCACCAGTAGGGTGGTCTGTCATCATTTATACATACTGCATCTGCATCCACTGTAGCCTCTGCTAGGGTGTTTCCTTGTCTGTTGTCCCCGGTACTGTTCCATGCTCTGTTCCCCACATGGAGATCCTCATTGATTACCAGGTATTTCCTCTTAACTCTTTAAACCAGTCCTAATATTTCTTCATTTCAGGAGAGTCAACATCGGTGTAAACATTTATCAAAATATGTGCTTATCAAAATGTTTATTTTTAAAACACCTGTCTTTATTGCTTGTTTTTATCACATTTGTGAGTGACAAAAGCCCCACCCCCCACAGTATTAATTAATTTATGAGTGAGTACTATTTTCATATATTCTCGTGCCAGGGGTCTTGAGTTTTGCATGTACATCCGTTATACAGGCTTATTTATGTGTAGTTGGTTGTTTCTTGCTGCTGGAGCAGATAGATGCATTCTGACTTTGAAGGAAGTCCCCAGTTAGTCATGTAAAAATGGGATATGGAAAGTAATGTGTACCACAAATGGGATATAGAAAGTAAAGAAATGTGTACCACAAATGGGATATAGAAACTAAAGTAATGTATACCACAAATGGGATATGGAGAGTAAAGAAATGTGTACCACAAATGGGATATAGAAACTAAAGTAATGTGTACCACAAGTGGGATATGGAAAGTAAAGAAATGTGTACCACAAGTGGGATATGGAAAGTAATGTGTACCACAAATGGGATATAGAAAGTAATGTGTACCACAAATGGGATATAGAAAGTAAAGAAATGTGTACCACAAATGGGATATGGAAAGTAAAGAAATGTGTTCCCAGTAAACATATGGTGAGTTGTGTACTGAATGAGTTTGAGAGAGCTTCATTGAGCCAATATTGATTTATGGAGCTGAATCATGGACAGTCAGCATACCCAGCCAAAACATGAGTACCAGGAAATGTTTGAGGGTGTCAAGATGGTTCACATAATGACAATACTGAGCATTGAGTACTGTGACAACATCGAGCATTGAGTACTGTGACAGCATTGAGTACTGTGACAACATTGAGCATTGAGTACTGTGACAACATCGAGCATTGAGTACTGTGACAGCATCAAGCATTGAGTACTGTGACAACATCGAGCATTGAGTACTGTGACAACATCGAGCATTGAGTACTGTGACAACATCGAGCATTGAGTACTGTGACAACATCGAGCATTGAGTACTGTGACAACATCGAGCATTGAGTACTGTGGCAACATTGAGCATTGAGTACTGTGACAACATCGAGCATTGAGTACTGTGGCAACATTGAGCATTTACCATGACAACATAGAGCATTGAGTACTGTGACAACATCGAGCATTGAGTACTGTGACAACATTGAGCATTGAGTACTGTGACAACATTGAGCATTGAGTACTGTGACAACATCAAGCATTGAGTACTGTGACAACATCGAGCATTGAGTACTGTGACAACATCGAGCATTGAGTACTGTGACAACATCGAGCATTGAGTACTGTGACAACATTGAGCATTGAGTACTGTGACAACATTGAGCATTGAGTACTGTGACAACATCGAGCATTGAGTACTGTGACAACATCGAGCATTGAGTACTGTGACAACATCGAGCATTGAGTACTGTGACAACATTGAGTACTGTGACAACATTGAGCATTTACCATGACAACATAGAGCATTGAGTACTGACTGCTGTACAGATATGGAGCTAGTGCCATTTGCCCACTGAGCCTAAAGGTGTGGAAACAGGTCCCATACTTGTTGCCCATATGTTTGATTGAAGGCTGGATACAGCTTGAACAAATTTTTTTTTTTTTTTTTTAGTCATGGGCAGCATCTTACCATACAAACCAGCCCTCGATCTCAGGAAAGGGATGCCCATTTATATTTAAATAAGCAGTTATGATGATAATGCGACAGGATACAAATTTCCAGTCACAAATTTATGGAAATATTTCTAGAGGTAAAGGGGTGAGTGTTTACACTTACTATTTATACCAGTCATCTCCTTGTGGAATGCAATTTTTCGTTTTTGAAGCACTACTCTGGCCGCAATATAGCCCGACCGTAATGTGGTCTAATGGCTGAAGGCGGTGGACCCCTCCACTGGTGATCCTCATCCACATGGTGGCACTTTGTGTCATCTTGTGTTTGCCGCTTTTTTTTTTTTTTAATGTCCTGGTGGGGTAAAAATCTACTACTACTGCTAGGAGTGAGTGACATTCAAAACACTACCAGGACTGCTTGACGAGTGAGAAACTGACGGTCACACAAAGTGCCACCATTTGGATGAGAATTGCCTCACTGCAGTTCCTAGACACCTTGTTCAACTAGTGGGTTATATTTAGGGCACCCTGACAACAGCTAGGGCAGGGTTTTTTAAATAACCACACACAAATTACGTCCAATATTATGGTGGTTTAGTAAAATGAGATAAAGGGGAGCCTACCACATTACATACTGGCAACAAGTATGCTGCCTGTTTCCATACCTTCAGTTTTAGTGGGCAAATGGTACCAGCTCTATGTTTGAAAAGCATAGTAAGCACCTAATGCTTGATGTTGTCATGATCGTGTGAACCACCTTTACATCCTGAAACATTTCCTGGCACTCATTTTTTGGCAGGGCTGACCAGCGAGTCCGGAACAATTTAAACAACCAGCTGGGGGTTTAAACATATGATCATGGAAATGGCAGGCAGACATGGCAGCCACTACACTAAAATGGTTCCAATAGATTTTATAACCACTGCTCTACAGTGGCCTTCAGTACATTGTGCAGAGAAGCTGTAACAGTAGTCAACAGCACAGTAAGTAAAGGACCCTTCTTTATGCTTTCAGGTTTAGTGAGCAAATAAAGGTTAAAGGTGAGAGGATCGACTTGGCTGCGAAGGGTTTTATCCCATACAGCTCGGCCTCTCTCCGCATAATAGCTAGCTGCCTGCCAAGAGCATCACTCCGAGCACGAACTCCGTAGCTTTGGTGATGTGCATTCTCTTCCCAGGAGGTTGTACCCACATAAGGCTGCGTCGACCTGAAAGCCAAGTAAAGTAAAGGTCCCTTTCCACGCCTTGAGGTTTTGGGCTAGACCTATAATTTTATTGACCAATTGGCACAAGATGGGTGATGTGGTCGGCATCACACCGATTGCCTTTACTTCCCAAGACTGCACCCGGTACCCACTCAAGGCTGGGTCAGCCTGAGAGTCAAGGTTATTTTTTTTTTAAAGTCCAGCTCCGCCAGGGGGCGAACCCACGACCTTGCCAAGGCAATTTTAAAAAAAAATTAGCACAGTAGTTGCCAAATGTTTTATTTCTTGTTCATTGTGAGAAAAGCATTTTTATGAGGGTACATTTTAACTTGTGCTTTGTCTGCCTTTAGGAGTGCATTTGGTCCTCTGGTGTTTGGTTACATTTGCTGGGATATTGGTCTTTTTGTGGCGAGCCAAGGCTGTGGTGAAGCCTGAAGTGTCCACACAGTAGTGAATGTAATCCTGAAATATATTGTACATAATTCTTTCTTCTCAGTTATTTGTTTATATAGTATAAGAGATCATTAATTAAGCTAAGATCCTCAGCACAGTTTATTCCTTATGTTGTTTCATTCAGTGTTGATCAGTTTGCTTATTGCTAGCCACAAGCTGCACAAATGTCAGTATAGTATTTCCCAAATTTAAGAAATTACGGTAATGGCTGTATCATGCACAGGGCCTTTAATTGTTTAAGGTAAACCAGAACATAAGAATAATATTCTCATTAAAAGAGGTGTTTGGTGGAATACAGGCTGTTTTGAATATCAGTATTGTTGATGCGTGAACTCTTAGAATGTACAGTTAGCGCCAGAAGCAGCAAATAAAAGCTATCAAAGATCAAATGACTTACATTGGGTATTATTTAACATGATTGACTTGATTCTTGTCACTAAGTGCTCTGTCTCCTTCAGCAGATATTGAACTGTACCCTAATTAAATGCATATGTAACAGTCAGTCCAATGCTGCCTTCATTAGGAAGTTTGGCTGTAGTGGATTTTAACAGTCTCTAGCTGTAGTTGTACACTTTCTTGGACTGTTGTTTGCTCATCCATCTATCTCTTGATGTTATTCTGTAACTCGTATTGCTATGTATCCCATTCTTGCCTACCTTCCACTTTTCCCTCCTGTGTGGTTTTTAGAAGAATGTTATGTATTTTATTTGAACTCTAGTATTTCATAGAATGCAAGAGAAAAAAGAGATTAGTTATTTATTGTCAAAAATAATTTCATCAAGGTTGAACAAATATTTTGAGGCAAATGAAGATGATCGGTTCATGACCACTGTTTATACAGGAAACAAATCTGCATCATTTTGAAGCCAATCTCATAACTGTATTGACTGGTCACACATATAGTATTCTACTCTTTCAGTACAAACCAACTCATAATGTTTTTTGCTTTCTATATACATAATATACTTACCTGTCTTACCTCCTTTAACCCATCCAGTTGTTAAACCTTCTCTGCCTTTCAACTCTTTTATCTTTTCTGCCTTATAGGTTTGATTGATATTTTAACTCCATCCGACCTGAGTTTTATTAGCTAAAGTAACAGCTTAGGTT